CCCCCCCCCCTCCCCCCCCCCCCCGAGGGTGAGGTGCTGAGTTTACCGCACTCCCACCGCCCCCGCCTCTTGGCAATCCTAAGGCATGCTGGACAACGTGAAGGTGGAATCTTACGGATCGATGACGAATCTCGCCTCGGTGGCGCAGGCGTCCATGAAGGGGCCGCAGCTGATCATTCTAAGCGTGTACGACCCTGGGGTACGTATTTACTAGGAATCTTTGGCCTGTCCTCTTCGTCTTCTCTTCCGGTTCTTTTGTTCGGAATTGTGTGTGTATGGCTTTCACGTTGTTTTTTGTTCTCGAGTTGCATGCTCACCTTGATGGACAATACCGAGCGTGATGCCTTTTAGGGAACGCTTGCGCCTTGCTCGCAACAAAATTAAAAAAGGTGTTTTGTTCGTTGCCTATTTTTTGCAGTGTGGCTGGTCACGCCTTGGTTGGCTCCTGCGTGACAAAAGTTTACTCGACGGACGCAAGAAGCACGTTCTGGTCGTTTGAAAAGCAATCTTGGAGTGTTTTTGCGCACGACGCGCCTCTCGGTTTTTCGAGGGAGACGCGTCGACGAACCGTAGCGTCTAGCTTAGGAGTGGATGGGAAAAAAATTCGAATCCGCGCGCGAACAAGAACAACGGATCGGATATCGTACTGCTGCCGCGGTGGTAATGGTGCCGGCATCCCATTCAGCCATGGAAGTTTCAGGACGCTTCGCGCCTGCGTTTCTGCTGCTTGTGTCAGTTTTTGATCTGGCACTGGTGCTGGTTCTGCCGGGGATTTTTCTTTCTGCCGCTTCTGTGGTTATTTGCACCTAATCACGCGCGTTCACTCCCACGCTTGTGGGACTTGTTCCTCCTTGTCCCTCCTTTCGCCGCACGACGATCAGACAAAGCGAGATCCCTCTCCCCCACCCTCCCACTTCCTGTCTGCTGTGGTGCCTCGTTCCTTTATGTACAACACTCTCCTCCTCGTCTGATCCCCCCACCCTCCCACTCCCTGTCTACTGTGGTGCCTCGTTCCTGTGTGTACAACACTCTCCTCCTCGTCTCGTCCCCGCAGATGACGAAGGCGATAGAGGACGCGGTTCGAGAGTGCGGCATGGGCCTCAACCCCTACTCGGAGGGACAGGGACAGGTGCACGTGCCGATCCCCAAGCCCACTAAGGAGTCGCGGGAGGCCGTGGCGAAGGTCGCCGCTAAGCACGCCGAGAAGGTGCGAGCACCGCGCGCTTGCGAAACGATCTTTTTGAGGGAAAAGGATTCAGATTTCGGCCATGTTTGTTTCGCTTCTTTGGTACACTTCACCGAAAAGTCTCTATCGTTGTCTTAGTATCTAGTAGCGTTCAATATGTGTTTTTTTCAGCGGAATGCACAGGAGCGTGGCCTCTCTCTCTCTCTCTCGCTACATCTTCGCCGCTGCACGCCCGCTTCCCGTCTTCGTTGCCCATTCTTCAGCTAATCCCACACCCTTGCAATGGCAAGACCCTCTCCCCCCCATACCTACACTTCGCCGCAGCTCCGCCAACCTCCTTAGTTTGTGACTGCTTGTCAGCTGACTGGCTTGTGCTTGCCTCGCGCCTTTTTTTTTTTTTTGTTCCTCGGCACACATTTCCGTGTTCTGTCGCGTGCGCTCGCCCACCCCGGTCTAGTCGAAGGTGGTGGTCCGAGGTATTCGGCACAAGATCTTAGACCAGATCAAGAAGAAGAAGGATTCATTCCCAGAAGACGATGTCCACATGAGGATCAAGGAGGTACGTGCGGTGGTTGCGTCTGTAGGCGGGAATCGAACTCGAAGCGGTGGTAGCGGTGGCGGCGTGTATGCATGCCACGCGGCGTTCGACCCAATGCCATAGCAACTGCTGGCGAACGCAGATGTGTCCAGGTGATTGTGTTTTTTTAAGATCGATTGCTTCACAACCAAGAGAGAGAGAAAGAAAGAGAAAGAGAGAGAGAGAGAGAGAGAGAGAGAGAGAGAGAGAGAGAGAGAGAGAGAGAGAGAGAGAG